TACAGTGCCTTCTTAAGCTTGAAAACATGATTAGGTTTGGCAGAATCTTCAAAACCCTTTGGCTGTTCTACATATGCTTCTTCATTTAAAACCCCATTCAGAAATGCACTTTTGATATCCATCTGATACAGTTTGATTTTAAGAAAGCAGGCTATAGCAAGAAGTAATCTAATAGATTCAATTCTAGCTACTGGAGCAAAAGTCTCATCAAAGTCTATACCCTCAATTTGAGTGTATCCTTGTGCTACTAACCTAGCCTTATTTCTAACAACTGTACCTTTTTCATCAGTTTTGTTTTTGAAGATCCACTTAGTTCCTATCACATTTACATGGCTTGGTCTGGGAACTAAGTACCAAACATCATTCCTGATGAATTGATTTAACTCTTCATGCATTGCATTGACCCAGAATTCATCCTTCAGAGCTTCTGTAATATTCCTTGGTTCCACTGAAGACACAAAACAAGTGGTTCCAGTTAGTGCACATTCAGAAGATAAATTTGCAAATCTTACCATATCTCTGTAGTTTACTCTCTCTTTTCTTCTGGTCCTTATTCCATCAAAGATATCTCCCACTACTTGAGTAGATGGGTGATTTTTCTGGATTCTGCTTGATGGTTCCTTTCTGCAGACATCAAAGGTTGGCAGCAATTCAGTCTCTGTAGGATGTGCTGAGTCAGATGTGGTGACACTTGGCTCAACACCTTCTTCTCTTAAAACTGGACTGTTTGTGTCTGGGCTATCTGTGGCAGAAGTGTCTTCTTCTGTTGTTTCTCTTTCAGCAATTAAGTCATCAACTTCATCTTCAGCTGTTTTACTGCGGAGATCAGCAAAGTCATCAAATACCACATTTACAGATTCAATAATGGTTCGAGTTCTTAGATTATATACTCTATAAGCATGACTGTTATTAGAGTATCCCATAAATAAACTCAAATCACTTTTTGAATCAAATTTAGCTAGATGATCTCTATCATTTAGAACATAGCAGACACATCCAAACACATGCATGTATTCTAGATTAGGTTTCTTACCATAAAGAATTTCATATGAAGTCATCATAGATCCTAATCTTAGATACACACGGTTTGAGATGTGACAGGCTGTGTTGACAGCCTCAGCCCAAAACCTCTTAGACAGATTTTTTGCACTCATCATCACCCTAGCCATTTCCTGGATGGTTCTGTTTTTTCTTTCAGCAATGCCATTTTGCTGAGGAGTTTTTGGAGCAGAAAATTCATGCTTTATACCCTTTTTATTACAAAATGCAAGAAATAAAGCATTCTCAAATTCTTTTCCATGATCAGATCTTATCCTACGAACAGAAACTTGAAATTGAGTTCTAACAAACCTGTACAAATTTCTGAATACCTCAAAAGTGTCTGATTTTTCTCTTAAGAAATACACCCAAGTATATCTTGAAAAATCATCAACACATACAAAGACATATTTTTTACCACCTAGACTTTCTACCTCTATAGGACCCATAAGATCCATATGTACAAGTTCAAAACAAATAGTGGTACCAACGTGCTGCAACACTTTGTGTGGTACTCTGGTTTGCTTTCCCTTCTGGCACATTCCACATATAGGAATATCCTTGATCTTGAGATCTGGTACTCCTCTTATAGCATTGTATTTGTTGAGCAGCTTCAGATTCTTGAAATTTGTGTGTCCTAGTTTTTGGTGCCACAACTCTACTTCACTCACTCTTGAGCTCTTGCATGAGATGGTGTCACCTGTTTGATAACAGTTATCCATTGATCTGGAACCTGTCAATACACAATGGTTTTGATTATCAAACACGGAACAACAGTATTTATCAAATTCTACACGTAGATCATCATCACACAATTGACTGATACTGATGAGATTTGATCCCAATCCTTTAACATGTAGGACATTTGACAGTTTTGGAAGTCCCTCAATACTGAGTGTTCCACGTCCAACCACTTTGCCTTTAGCTCCTCCTCCATAGGTTACACGTCCTCCATTTAGTGTGTGGTAGTTTGATAGAAATTCTTTTGTTCCAGTCATGTGCCTGGAGCATCCACTATCAAAGTACCATGAACCTGAAATGTTAGCATTTAAAGAGGTGTATACTGCCTTGCACAAGAGTTTACCTTTGGGAGTCCATATTTTACACTCCTTTTTGGTAGATTCTACCTTTTTCTTTGAGGTGTTCCTTGGAGTGATGTGGCTTATTTTATACAACATTTTGTCACTACTAAGTTTTTCACAAAATGGACGAATGTGTCCTGGTGAGAAACAATAATGACACACATAACCTCTTATTCTGGAATCTGGAGTGGTGACTGTGGACTCCCTGCAATCCTTTCTGTTTGCACCCTTTTCTTTTACAAAGACAATTTCTTTCTTCTTTACTGGCTTCATTTGTTTTTTGAACCCTAGCCCTTCATGTTTGTAGTGCTTTTCCATTGACACAATCTCTTCGAGTTTAGTTGTGCCAGTGTTCATCCTCTTGATTGCTAGAGTTGCCTTTTTGAGTTCATCTTTCACCTTTTCCAGTTCAAGATCCTTCTTGGTGATTCCAACCTCCAAATGTGTGATTGTTTCTTTGAGGGAGGAATTTTCCTTGTTGGCTGCATCTAGAGCTTGAGTCTTCTTCTCCAGGTCAAGAGCTAGTTTCTTACACATTTCTTCCTCATCACTAGCTGCTTCAATACTGGATTCTGCTGCATTTAAAGAAATAGAGTTTAAACATGTATAATGATCAGTATTAAACTTAGAAATTTCAGTTACTGAAAGTGTTTCAGAAAGTGTTGCAGCATCCAGAGAGACTCCTTGCGATTCTGTTTCAGAAGCATTTCCAGTGATATATCTGACAGAGAGAGCTTGTTTAGTGGATTGCTGTTCCTCTGTCTGTTTAGGTTGCTCTTCCTCCTCACCACTGACAGCACAAATCAAACTCATTCCTCTTCTTCTCAAGGTATTTGCACATTCATTAGCATAATGTCCAAATCCTGAACAAGCCCTGCATTTAATGTGATCCAAGTTAGGTGGTTCAGAATTTGAACGAACAAATGAAGAAGTTTTTAGAGTGTTTTGAGAAGATGTTTGATGAAATGTTCTCTGTGGAGTAGATCTGTTCCGGGGCTGAGTTTGTCGATTTTGCGAAGAGCCATCTGGAAATAATTGTCTGGGCTTGATTCCACTCCGCCTATATGCCCTATTGAATTTCTGAATTTGGAATTGCAACATTGTTGAGACATTCCTCTGCATCATCATCATATTCCGGAGCAACATCTTCCTTCTCCAACTCTGCCTGGAGTGCATTTGAGATAGCCTTTCCTTTCTCCTTTCTTTGATCTTCAAAGTTCATCTCTCTAGACTTTAGACTACCAATTAATTCGTCCAGCCGTAGAGATGATGTATCTTTGGCCTCTTCAATAGCAGTAACCGTCATGCTGAACCTTTCTGGAAGAGTTCTTAATACTTTGTTTACCAGTGTCTCGTTGCTCAAAGGACCACCTAAAGATTGAAATTCATTAGCTAAATCAATCAATTTCTCATTGTACTGAGAAATTGTTTCAGTTTCTTCCATTCTCAGTCTCTCAAATTTGGAGGAGAGTAATCTGAGCTTAGTTCTTCTGACACTGTCTGATCCTTCACAATGTAGCTGAAGGACTTCCCAAGCATCTTTCGCCGAAGTGCACACTGAAATCAATTTAAACATGGTTAAATCCACTGAATTAAAAATCGCATTTAATGCCTTTGAGTTTTGGTTAGCATTTGATAGATCGTCTGGTGTCCACCGTAATTCTGGTGTTGGAAACACATCCCCATCAGCATCTGTGATAGTTGGTGGCTTCCATCCAGTGAGAATAGATCTCCAGGCTCTCTCATCAATGGCTTTGATGTACGCCCTCATCTTGACTTTCCAGTAGGTGTAGTTTGTGCCGTCGAGTACAGGAGGTCGCATAGAAGCAGTCATCTGAGTATCCATCACGAATTCATTTCTGAAAAAGAAAATAGGAACAAACACTTAGTATACGTCAAGTGTTGGCTCTTGATGCCAATTGAAATAATTTATGGTCCCGAATTCGTTTAATACAGAGGTGTTGTCTTAAGTGTTATGACACTTGAATAAACAAGCAGCGGAAATAAAAAGAACAATACTCAGAATTGAAAAATGTTCACAAGTAAATACTTGTGAACTTGCCCTTTACAGGACGGAAAAAGAATATATTAAAATCAGTATTCTAAGAATACAAATGGAAGAGGTGCGAAAACTTCTTCCTTACAAATGAATCATTCTCATGATCATTCTTACAACCAAATCTAGATACTAAAAGAAAAATATTAAAAATTCTAGATTTCAAAGAATGTACTCATAAGGAGTACGTACAACAGATCCTAGAAACACACTAAAATTCTCGAGATTAAACTTCAGCACACTTTTTGTTTCTTCGAAATCTGTGACCATCTTGAGTCTTGAGTTTGGTATTTATAGACTTGCCAAGCTTCCACTCCTCAGCCCATGATCTGCAAGAAAACCAACCACAAGAGCACTTAAGAAAGTGGGTTAGTGGGTTAGTTTGGAAGTTAAGATAAATTCCATAATTAAATCCACTAAGCACTACTTAACCCACTAACTAAAATTTAGTTTTAGAAAGTAAGAAAGTTAAAAACACAATGTGGAATTAATCCACGTGTTTCAGAATGTTTTAGGGGGGTCGAGTTCTACCGTTTATGCTATCGCATTGTTAGCCTCAGGCCAGAGCTCGACTATTACCGGGACTTATGCCGGACAATTTATCATGCACGTATACCAATTTTTTTTTCTTTTTCGAATTATGCAAATTAAAATAAAATATTATTTGTGGAAAAGAACTCAAATTATAATTTTTCGAATTATCCAAATAATAGGGGTTTGTTTGTACATTTACCATACCTCAGGGGGTGTTTATAATTTACCCTAATAATAATAATTGCCCATATGACCCAACAGCTATGACCAAAACGACACCGTTTGAATTGTCAAATTAATTTGCCTGATATCCATTCTCACCCCCAACATCCTCCTTGCGGCGACCCCTTCATTCTGCCCCCCTCATCTTTTTCACTCCGCCGCCGCCGCCTCTACCTCCGCCGTCGCCGTCGCCGTCGTCGTGGTTCCTAACAGTATTAATGTCGGTAAGAGTTTTATTAACTTTCAGTTCATGTTTCTAGTTTTGTTGGAATTTATTTTTCTCTCTCTCTCTCTCTCTCTCTCTCTCTCTCTCTCTCGCAGGTGCTGAATTTGTCTCTTGTTATCCTTTATTTATTTATTATTATTTATGTATGTTGTCTGTCAATTTCAGAAACTCGTTTTGGTTGCTTGTATAGTCTGTGATAAGTTAGCAAGATTGATTTTTCTTTTTGAAATATTTTTGCCTCTCATTGTTAGTGATGTTGATTAAGTTATGTGTTATTGAATTTGAATCTCCATGCTTTTGTCAAAATTTAATTAAAATTTATTAAATGTTTTCTCTGGATCTTGTTTAATAGCAATGTAGTTAAAATCGAGATCTAAATCGTAAGACTTTAAGATTTTAGACACCGAAAAGGAGTAAGATCGCACTAAAATCGCAGGTGCCCTTAAAATCGTGTGAAATCGCGTTCAAAATCGTTAAAAACGCGTTTTTAGTGCGATTTTGGCGATCTTGGTTTTTGTCAACAATTGGGCTGAAATTTGGATTTTGGCCTCGTAAATTCAGTTTTTTAACTAAATTTTTTTAGCCGATTACCAAATAATCCAGAATATATAAAGCTCAGCCCTGCCCTAAAATAACAATCTATCACGACGAGAAGAAAATACTTCTCTTCTGCTAAAAAAACATCCAGCGGCGGTTGTGAGTGTCAGTTTCAGTTATCTTATGTTAGACCATGTTTAATTAATGTTGGAATGTTTTATATTTTTTAGGACAGTTTATGTATATTATGACTTATTTTATTTGTGTTACGGGTGTTTTCTAAGTAGTAAGTACTAAATATATTTATTTTACAATACATGTAAAATCTTACGATTCTACGATCCGATTTTACGTTTCCGATTTTACTACCCCTCTCCGATGTCACTTAAAATATCGATTTTGACTACTTTGTTTAATAGTTGTGGAGCTGTTTGCTACATTGATAAGCCTGTTATAGCTCTGTGGTTGAATTTCTGCAGACAATAGATGTCTCTGTCAAGACAGGTTACCAGCCCCCGTCGTCGTCGTTTGTGGAGGATAATAAAGCTCCGCTTATTGATCTACACTTAACGGACTCGACCGAGCTTTGGCTTATTCAGTGGCCCATTAATCAAGTAAGCCGACTGAGCTTTGCCTTTACATATATGCATTGTCTTAATTGATTTTTAAATAGAACATAAATTTGATTTTATTCTTTTTTTCTCGGATCAAAACATTGGGAGAAGCTTCCTCTGTATTTTTATCTTTATTAATCTTGGTCTAATCTGATTTGACCAAGCCAAGGTAGTTAAAATCGAGATTTTAAGTGAAATCGGAGAGGGGTAGTAAAATCGGAAACGTAAAATTGAATCGTAAAATCGTAAGATTTTACATGTATTGTAAAATAAATATATTTAGTACTTACTACTTAGAAAACACCCGTAACACAAATAAAATAAGTCATAATATACATGAAATGTCCTAAAAAATATAAAACATTCCAACATTAATTAAACATAGTCTAACATAAGATAACTGAAACTGACACTCACAACCGCCGGATGTTTTTTTAGCAGAAGAGAAGTATTTTCTTCTCGTCGTGATAGATTGTTATTTTGGGGGCAGGGCTGAGCTTTATATATTCTGGATTATTTGGTAATATGGCCAAAAAATTTTAGTTAAAAAACTGAATTTATGAGGCCAAAATCCAAAATTTCAGCCCAATTGTTGACAAAAACCAAAATCGCCAAAGTCGCACTAAAATCGCGTTTTTAACGATTTTAACGATTTTGAACGCGATTTCACATGATTTTAATGCACCTGCGATTTTAGTGCGATCTTACTCCTTTTCAGTGTCTAAAATCTTAAAGTCTTACAATTTTACGATTTATATCTCGATTTTAACTACAGTGTGACCAACTATTTATTACAGCCTCCTGATTTCGACGGTCAACAGCTGTCCCTGAATCTTAACAGTGATGGACATCTCGGCAACTTTGAGGGCTCTTCCGGTAATTTGATTTTGTAACTATGATGTTTTATTTTATTTTAATTGTGTTTATTCAATATTAGACACCTTTGTTCACCATTTTAGTGTATTGGCTTAACGTGTCAGGAAAATTGTACGACGTGGTCAGTGACAAATGTCAGGGTCCAGAAACTACCGTTTTCTTATCTTCACCGTCAGAGGCTAGAATCGGTATCGGTTTCTTGAATTGCCCACAACTTTTTTATGCTTATTTCTTTTTCAACTTGATATCAATCTGCTATCAAAGTCGATTACGATTATTTTTTGGCTGTCAATCCTAGTTCCATCTCAAGCCCTTTTCAAATATACGCAGATAAAACTGAACTAGGGATTATATTTCCGCAAAAATGACCGAAAGACGGAACCTTGTTATATTTCCTTATGTTGAAGTGAGCTGTGTTTCCTTCAATTATGTAGATCTAAGTTGTGTTGCCTTTATTGATGCAAACCACTGAAAATTTTCTATCTTGCTGCATTCTTGAGGCAATTTCTGACACAAGAATTCGACTTGATTTTATTCGTGAGACGATTCACTATTCTTTGCAACTTCCCGAAAAGTTTTGATAATATCCACTTAGTTGTGCTCAAAATGTAAAGAAGTCGCCATAGTTTCATCAAACATTTGGCGTATTATTTGAGTCGACTTAATCTGATATTGTTCGTCTTTTATGGTGACAGCTGGAAAGATCTCGAGACGAGTTTCTTTGATCCACTACCCAGAGCCAAGTGAACTTAAAAAACGCAATATCATCAACTTAAGTCACTCTGCTCGATCTTCCGTTGTTACATCGTCCTTGTCAGGTGGTCGTCATTTGCCAACTCCAACTCGTAGTATTAAGCCTGGGGCCACACCAAGTAGCAGAAACAAGAATCCGTTGCCTGAATCTGCAAAGCCTCTGAAGAGAAAACGAGCCCACGAGCCGATTAAACCAACGGATAATTCTGCCCAAAATTCAGGAAGAGGAAATAGCGGGGTTACAACTGTTGAATCCGCTGATGAAAAAAAATCAAAGAAAAAGAAAATCGAAAGTTAAGGACTTCGTGGGTATTTTGTTTTGAACATTTCTTCTTAATTACCCTGATTTTGTGGAAGGTGGATTCGATCTTGTACCTCGTAAGTCGAGCTTAAGTTGTTTGTTGAATATGGGGAAGACTGAAAGTTGTTATATATAAACTGTTGCAGGTTAGTTTGTCTTTATGTTGAAAATGATAATTACAAGTATAGATGTTTTATTTACTTATTTTGAAACTTATTAGAGATTATTTGTCTTAATTACAATTAAGAGGAAAGGGAATATATATATACTAGTAACGAGCACCGCGCAAGGCGCGATGCCCAGCCCGATGACGGTTCCTGACTATTTGTGTTCGATTAAAAGATCGTTTTATGTCCGTTGTTTGGCAGAAGGAATAATGTGGACAATTCCCAGTTTGCACTTAAACACAATTTGCAGAAATTAAAGAAGACTTGTGGACAATTCCCAATGGGCTCTAAACACAATTTGCAGAAATTAAAGAAGACTGATATAAATTTTCTTGTGAAATAAATAGCTATTTCAACAAAAGACAAGGGAAGTTTCTCATGCATATTAATTCGAAGAGCATCTCCTATCGGTGGGGGGCGGGCGGCTCCCCCTCCCCCGAGCCCAACCCATTTCTCGTCCAGCAGATCAATCTCTTTCTTGCAATTTTTTCCATCACCACTCTCATAATAATAATAATAATAATAATAATAATAATAATAATAATAATAATAATAATAATAATAATAATAATAATAATAATAATAATAATAATAATAATAATAATAATAACCCGTAATGTTAATATAATTAATAGAATATTTCCAATAAAATTACTATTTTAAATTAAAAAGATCGAATTAGAGAAAAAAAAAACGAGAAAACTAAAGTAAAATAAAAAAATTGATAATAAAATGGCAATAAATAAAGAAAAAGGAAAGAAAAAAAAGAAAAAAAAAAGAAAGAACTAAAATAAATTAAAATAAATAAAGAAGAGATACAAAGAAACAACAGAAAAAAAAAATAAAAAAGAAAATGCTAACATGTAAAGAGAAGGAAAAAAAAAAAAAAAAGCTGGCGTGAAATTCACGTGGGAGAGAGGAGAGTGAGAGCCCACGGCTTATGCCTGGGCTCAATTCACCCCCCAAGCCACCCCAGCCCCAGCCCCACCCCAGCCCAACCCCACCCCCTACTCACTAAACACCTCAACTCTCCCCCACCCCCACTCCTCCCCCATTCCATAGGAGATGCCCTAAGATGCCTATGCATGGTATAACATCATTTACAAGTTTGATGAACAAAAATTACTCATTCAGATGTGATGTGGACTTGCTCAACAACAGACCTACAATTCTTCAATCTATGATGTGCCTTTATGTGCACAGAGGCATTTGCAAAAACGATAAACGCAAAGGTACGTCGATAAAAAAAAGGCCTAATGTAATTCAACAGGTAACATCTGATCTTGTAAGAAATCAAAAATCAACAACTTGATCATGCAAAACCCCTGCAAACCTCAAACCTTTAATGTCGTAAGAAAAAATAAAAATAAAAAATTAAAACCAAAGAACATGGAATATCGAAAGATAAATGAGTGTTTGTTAACCTCGAAAATCACGAAGTGATAAGTAATTAGGACAGTATGGAAAGAGCCTGCAACCAATATTTAAGATTGAAAATTGTCACTCCAACTACTCCCGGCCGTAATATTTTACTGCAGAATCAAGACTTAATGGTCTAGTTAATCATTTGGCATCCATACACCGAAAAGCATAGGATATTGTTAGAGAATAACTTTGATTGAATGAGTAAAATTTGAATGGTTCCAACACGAGACCCATAATAGTTCGATAAAGGATGAAAGTGGAATTAGTATTGGCTTCGATCTCATAACGTACCACAATAGCAATTGTACAAGGGCAAAAATGTCCATTCGTGTAATAAGAGACATGGTCTTTGTTCGAATTCCAAGTGGAAGAGCTTTTTTTTTCCGGGGATGAGAACATAGAAAGACGTTGCCTCCATGTTCCATGGCACCGCCTGAAAGAAAAGGACTGAAGAAAAATAGAGATCCAAAAGGTTCTTGAGGAGAAAAAGACGACGAAGAACAAATTAGAGCAAAAATTCGTAGTTGTTTCTTAACGCCGTACTGCGAATTTTTAGAACTGTTTCAGCAAGGGAGGTGGATTTCCAGAAATTACTAATAGACCCCTACTTGGGGTGGCATTTCCGGTTTAAGGACCAAAATTAAAAATGGTATATAATATATTGACCAAAACTATAACTATCCCAAGTCTATTTTAAATAATATAATAAATTAAAGTTTCCTTAAATCGTTAATCGTAAAATTTGATCAATTTGTTAATATTTAAGATGTATTTTACCATTTGAATCGACTTAGGTATGAATGAATTGAATCGTAAGATTTGAACCGTGAATCATAAGATTTTAAGCTCGGTGTTGCGAATTTTCTTAAACGAGTCACAAGCGATCACAGCTGATGAAGAGTCGAAGCATGCTGCGTTGGTGGTGGATTTTTCGGATATTGCAAGAGAGATCCACTTTGGGGTCAAATTTGCAATTTGGATGTAGCGATTTGGAAGATGGAGTAAGTATAAGGGTAATTCTGCAATTTCAGAACTGTTTCAGCCAACAAGGTGGATTTCCAGAAATTACAAATTGACCCCACTAGTGGGCATTACCGGTTTAAGGACCAAAATTAAAGTATGGAATATAATATCGGGACCAAAACTGCAATTATCCCAACTTAATTATAAATAATATAATAAATTAAATGTTTCTTAAATCATAAATGGTAAAATTTGATCGATTTGTTGATATTTAAGATTTATTTTAACATTTGAATTGACATAGGTATGAATGAATTGAATCGTAAGATTTGAAAATCAAGCCCCACTTGGGGGGCATTTCCGATATAAGGATCAAAATAAAATATGGTATATAGTATAGGGACCAAAACTGTAATTATCCAAAGTTTATTATAAATAAAATAATAAATTGAAGTTTTATTAAATCGTAAATTGTAAAATTTCATCGATTTGTTGATATTTAAGATTTATTGCAACATTTGAATCGATTTAGGTATGAATGAATTGAATCGTAAGATATAAATCGTAAATCATAAGATTTTAAGCTCGGTATTGCGAATTTTCATAAATGAGTGACAAGTGATTATAGCTGAGGAGGAGTCGAAGCATGCTACGTTGGTGGTGGATATTTCGGATATTGCAAGAGAGATCCACTTTGGGCTCAAATTTGCAATTTGGGTGGAGCGGCTACGAAGATGGAGTAAGTACAGGGATAATTCGGCAATTTTCAGAGCTGTTTCACAAGGAGAGGTGGATTTCCAGAAATTACTAATTGACCCCCACTTGGGGGTATTTCCGGTCTAAGGACCAAAATTAAAAATGGAATATAATATATGGACCAAAACTTCCGCGAAAATGCAGCATGCTTCGACTCCTCCTCAGCTCTAATCGCGTCTGACTCCTTTAAAAAAATTCCCAATACCGAGCTTAAAATTTCATGATTCACGATTCAATTCATTAATACCTAAGGCGATTCAAATGTTAAAATAAATCTTAAATACCAATGAGCCGATCAAATTTTAAGAGTTACGGTTAAATAAACTTTAATTTATTATATTATTTATAATAAACTTGGGATACTTACAATTTTGGTCCCTATATTATGCACCGTTTTTAATTTTGGGCCTTAAACCGGAAATGCCCCCCAAGTGGGGGTCAATTTGTAATTTCTGGAAATCCAACATCCTGGTTGAAACAGTCTGAAAATTGCAGAATCACTCATATACTTACTCCATCTTCTTAGGCGCTCTACCCAAATTGCAAATTTGACCCCAAAGTGGATCTTTTCTTGAAATATCCGAAATATCCGCCACCAACGCAGGATGCTTCGACTCCTCCTCAGTTGTAATCGCGTGTCACTCATTTAACAAAATTCGCAATACCGAGCTTAAAATCTTTTGATTCACGATCCAATTCATCAATACCTAAGGCGATTCAAATGTTAAAATAAATCTTAAATACCAACAAATCGATCAAATTTACGGTTTAAGAAACATTTAATTTATTATGTTATTTATAATAAACTTGGGATATATACATTTTTGGTCCATGTATTATATACCATTTTTAATTTTTGTCCATAAACTGAAAATACCCCCAAGTGGGGGTCAATTAGTAATTTCTGGAAATCCACCTCCCTTGTTGAAACATATCTGAAAATTGTAGAATCACCCCTGTAATTACTCCATCTTCGCTACCGCTCCACCCAAATTGAAAATTTGACCCCAAAGTGGATCTCTCTTGAAATATCCCAAATATCCGCTACCAACGCAACATGCTTCGACTCCTCCTCGGTTGTAATCACGTGTGACTCCTTTACGAAAATTCGCAATACCAAGCCTTAAATCTTATGATTTAAGATTCAAATTGTACGATTCATTTCTTTCATATCTAAGTCGATTGAAATGCTAAAATAAATATTCAATAGCAACAAAAGATCAAATTTTACGATTTACGATTTAAGATAACTTTAATTTATTATAATATTTATAATAAATTTGGGATAATTACAGTTTTGGTTCCTATATTATATACCAATTTTTAATTTGGTCCCTAAACCGATAATGCCCCCCAAGTGGGGGTCAATTTGTAATTTCTGGTAATCAACCTCCTTGGCTGAAACAATTCTGAAAATTGCAGAATCACCCCTATACTAGCTCCATCTTCCCAGCCGCTCCACCCAAATTGCAAATTTGACTTCAAAGTGGATCTCTCTTGCAGTATCCGAAATATCAGCCACCAACGCAGCATGCTTCGACTCCTCCTCTCATGTGACTCATTTACGAAAATTCGCAGTACCGAGCTTAACATCTTATGATGTACTATTTAAATCTTACGATTCAATTCAATCATACCTAAGTCGATTCAAATATTAAAATGACTCTTAAATATCAATAAAATGATCAAATTTTACAATTTATGATTTAAGAAAACTTTAATGTACTATATTATTAAGAGTAAACTGCAAATACTACCCCTGCGTTATCTCGAAATAGCGGAAACCCCCCTGTGATAAATAAACTAGCAAAAACCCCCCTGTGAAATTTAGTCAAAGGCAGAATCCCCCCTAGCTGATTTTTTAGACTTGAAATGACCAAATTGTCCCTCAAAATGTATTTATATA